GACCTTCAGCTGGGCAGGCATAACTCGGGCTGGGTTATCCAACAGCTGGAAATTTGGCTCAGGTTCCTTTTTCTTCTCTTTTTCTTCTTTTTTCTCTGCTTCGTCCACTTCCATTTTCTCTTCCTCCTTTTTGTCTTTTTCTTTTTCTTTCTTTTTGGCTTTGGCAGTAATAGAGAACACAGCAGTAGAAACCATTTCCTTTTCTTTTTCTTTTGGTACTTCCAGAGGTGCAGGATACGTAAATGTGGATGGTTTACAGTTTGATTTATACTGCACCTTTGGCATCTTTAAATCCTTGTTCAGGCCGATGACACAGGTAGGGGTATAAGCCAATGACAGAAAGTGTGAGAGAGGAAACCAGAACCAGAATTGGGTAAAGACAAGGACGCCAACCACAGAAGGCATATGTGTGTGCCCAGTTCTGGACTGTAAGGAGATTGTAACATTATGACCACCTGCATCTAGTATGCCCTGGGCCAGAATAGCGCCAAACTTGGCCATGACATCATCATGCTTATCACTGATAACTTTGGAACACAGCTGTTGGAACTGATTCACCTTTGGACATGTAATCTCAGTCTGCTGGATCATGATGTGTACGTAGGCTATGAGAGCCCCTTGCCTCACGTAGTTCAAGGGTCATTTTTCATTGGTTCTAGCAAATTAATCATTTCCTTGTTTCCTGTACCAGCACAGCAGATGCCTAGGGCCATCGCGGCTCTGTAGTGCACATGGGGGTTGTAACTCTCGGACAGCAGAGAGACCACACTGGGACACTGCTCAGGGGTCCTGAATAGAATGAAGCCAAGTGATTTGACTGCTGCCCTCCTAACATCATCATTAACATTGCTGACAGCAACATGTAGCAGGTGTCGAACAGCTTTGTTGTTACCAAAGCCACAATAAGCCATGGCCACTGTATACATTCCAGACCTTCGAAGAATTGGGTCCTTATCCCGACAGAGAGACTCAATGAGTGCATCAGCCTCTTCCATCCTCCCATACATCACTAAGGCAATGCCGACGGCGAGACCACGCAGGATCTTTTCATGCTGGGTTTCCTGGGCATAGCCAACCATGTCCTCGATAGCCTGAGCATTTTTAGAGCCCAACATAACCAAACCTAGGGCCAGGCCAGCTGCTTCTCCTGTCGCAGCATCATCCTGGTAAAGGTTGGTTTTTAGCAAATCATAAACATTCTGGCATGCAGCTTCCATGGCAGCCAAATCAAGACCCAGGCTGCCTCCATGCCGAACGATATCGTTGCTGGCATTCTTGAGCTGATTCAGCAGGTAATCAATTATGTCGCCACCATGATTGGCATGGATGAGCCTTAGTGCATAGAGCCCCCCGCCTTCCTGGTAGGCTGACCCTGGAGACGTGTCTTTGGGAAGGTAGGTTGCCATTAACTGCAATGCTTCCTTCTCGTGACCCTTATGAATTACACCCAAACTGGCTGCAGCAGTAAATTTAGCCCAGTTAGTGGCTCTGGCCAACCATTCCAAGTTATCTCTAAGAAACTGGTCACTGGTAGTCCCACAGTGCATGAAAGAGTTTGCTATGACAGTTGCTGTGTGGCATACTGAATTCTGTACTGCTTCCTTTGTGTTTTTTAGAATCATGAGGTCTGTGTT